TTTATTTTCTTCAAGGTATTCAGAAGACCGTGAATGTGGCGAAGGTCAGTAAGTTGGGGTCTTTGGAACTTTGGCATAAAAGGATGGGACATGCTTCTGAAAAGGTTATTAGAAGATTGCCAGAAGTGGATCAAAAGAGTGTTAGTGTTTCTGATTGCGATGTCTGTTTCCGAGCAAAGCACTGTCGGAATGTATTTCCTGTGAGTACAGAGAAACGCAAAGAATGCTTTGAGATGATTCATTGTGATTTGTGGGGGCCATATTGAACACAGAGCGTGTGTGGATCCTCTTATTTTTTTAACTATCGTGGATGATTATTCTAGAGCTGTGTGGGTTTTTCTTCTTGCTGATAAAACACAAGTTCAGAAAACAATGGTAGATTTCTTTGCTCTCATTCAGCGTCAGTTTGAGAAACATGTAAAAATCGTGCAAAGTGATAATGGTAGTGAATTTATGGGTATGAAGGAGTATTTTCGTACATCAGGGATAATTCATCAAACTTCGTGTGTGGGAACTCCTCAAAAAAATGGTAGAGTGGAGCGAAAACATCAACATATACTGAATGTCGCACGAGCGTTGAGGTTTCAGGCAAATTTACCAATAGAACTTTGGAGTTATTGTGCTTTGAGTGCTGCGTATCTAATCAATCGTACGCTTTCTGTGTTACACAATGGTAAGAGTCCTTATGAAATCATCTTTGGAAAAGCTCCTGCTTGTAGTGAGATACGAGTTTTTGGATGTTTAGCATATGCTCACAATAAGAAATGCCATGGAGATAAATTTGCGAGTAGAAGCAGAAAATGTGTATTTTTGGGATACCCTTATGCAAAGAAGGGATGGAACTTATTTGACTTGGAGACACATGAGATCTTTGTTTCGCGGGATGTCACTTTTATTGAAGAACGATTCCCATATCTGGAGCTAAAAAATGCACAGCTGGATGAGCCTTCTAATTCTAATCAAATGAGGTTATATGTGGATGAAAATGCTGGATTTGACGATATAGAACCTGCCTTAACAAGGGAAATTATACAACCTCTCACAAGAGATACCATGACACAGACTCAGGTTGTGTCAGACAAGGTTGCAGAAGAAGAAAGACTGACTATAGGAAACAAAATACGCGATATCTTAGAAATTACAGCACCACAAACTGAACCTGCATCGGTTACACAGTCTGAGATTGTGCAGCCTGCTTTACTGACAGAACCTGCATCGGTTACACAGTCTGAGAATGTGCAGCCTGCTTTAGTAACAGAACCTGCATCGGTGACACAGGCTGAAACTGTGCAACAGCCTGCATCAACAGAAACTTTGGGACGAGGAATGAGAAAGAAAGAATCTTCTGTCAAGTTACGCGACTATGTGTGCAATACGACATTTACAATGAATACTTCCACTGTGAGTCAGGAATTGAGTAATGATTATGGTATTGAGAATTATGTGAATTGTGAAAGGTTCTCTGTGTCACACAAGGCATTTCTTTGTAGTATAACTGAAGGAGTTGTGCCGAAAATTTTTGCTGAGGCCATGAAGGATCTGCGATGGAGAGAAGCTATGAGACTCGAGATTGAGGCCCAAGAGCGAAATCAAACATGGTTGATTGAACAATTACCACTAGGTAAGTATATGATTGAGTGTAAATGGGTTTATACAATTAAGTATAATGCGGACGGCTCAATTGAAAGTTATAAGGCGAGACTTGTGGCATGTGGCAATCGTCAAAGAGAAAGGATTGATTATTCTGATACATTTGCTCCTGTAGCAAAGATGAGCACAGTTCGATTGATTCTTCAAGTTGCCGCTGGGAAAAATTGGGAGCTACATCAGATGGATGTGCACAATGCGTTTCTTCATGGAGATTTGGATGAAGAGGTCTTTATGAGGGTACCTCAGGGTTTTGTAGCTTCTAAGAAGGGTATGGTATGTCGTTTGCGCAAGTCGTTGTATGGTTTGAAATAAGCTCCGCGATGTTGGTTCACGAAACTTTCGGAGGCACTTTTGGGGTACGGTTTTACACAGAGTAAGGCTGATTACTCTCTTTTCTCATTAGTTCGTGATAAAGTTCACTTGCACGTTCTAGTATATGTGGATGATCTTGTGGTGACAGAAAGCTCTCCTGAGGTGATACAAAAGTTTAAAACATATCTAAGCAATTGCTTTCATATGAAGGATTTGGGAAAAATGAAATATTTTCTTGGATTGGAAGTTGCAAGAAATGCAGAGGGTATATACTTATCACAGAGAAAGTATGCTCTGGATATTATTGCTGATATCGGTTTGCTTGGTGGTAGGCCTGTAGAGTTTCCGATGGAGCAAAATCATCAGTTGGGAAGGTCGACGACAAAGATTTTGACTGATCCAGAGAAGTATCGGAGACTGGTTGGAAGGTTGATTTACTTGGCTGCGACTAGACCAGATCTTGCCTACTAAGTTCACATCTTATCTCAATTTATGAATGAGC